AGTTGCGAAAGGACTCGCGATTAGCTCATGCGACTTATGCAATTTGCCTGCACGCAGTGAGAGTGTGAGTCGAGAGAGAGAGAGTAGTAAAACTCACCCCCAAACTCTAGCTGAGAGAGAAGTCCTGCGAGAAGGGGCGACATTGCATACACAAAATAGGAAAAAGCAGGAGGAAGAAAAAAAACAAAGTTGCAGCAATGACATCATAAAGCGCCTTGCATGGAACGCTCTAATACTAGCTCAACTACAGTTAAAAAGCTTTTTACTGAATTATAATATTTTTAAACCATGATTAAACTCTTTACCGTTATTCAGCAAAAACAAAATCCAATTTGAACACTGCATGTCGTGCATTCAAAATGGATTAAACGTGCAAAAACATTGCACAGCCGCTGCGCAAGTGCCTCTGCTTGTGTGTGTGAGCGCGTGCTGTGCTGCGAGAGCGCTCAGCGCTCAGCGCTGAGAGAGAGAGAGAGAGAGAGAGCGAGAGCATAAGCGAGTGAGCAGATTCTGCATTTGCAACATAACGCAAAAGCACTCAATGCAAAATAGGCGCACTCTCGCGACGCCGGGCCTGTGCTTGCGCGTGTATGTGTATGTGTGTGTGTGTGTTTTTTTTTGTCGCTGCGGTTTGCTGCGTTCGTTCGCCATTTACTCTTACGGTCTTGGAGCTGTTGCGTTGCTGCGCTGCTGCGCTGTTACTGCTGCTGGTGCTGCTACTGCTGCTATTGGTGGTGGCTCTGCCACTGCTTGTGTGTGCGTGCAGTTTGTTGTATGCTTGTGTGAGTCGCCGTTGTCGTCGCGTCGCCTCTGCCTCTGCCTCGATAGGCCGGCCATAAACGCAAAAGTGGAATTACGCTCGCGTTATTCGGCGCTAGGTTTCGGTGGTGCGCAGCTCGCAGTCGCAGCGTTTGTTGTGTGCATTTCTCGTCTCGTCTAACGGCAACAGCAAAACAGAAGCTGACTGCAAAAACAAAAAAACAAAGAATAATAAATACACAAAAACCAAAACTAAATTACATTTCAAAATTACAAAGCAAAATTTAAGAAAACAACAAAATTAATATTCATATTAATTTATTTATTACGAACGGAAATGCGGCAGAAAAACAAATGAAAATTGTTTTGAAAATTGTGCACCAAATATTTGCTGCCTAACAACAAAAGTTTCCTCAACTTAACTGTTTTTTAATTTATTATTTAAGTTTAGTTTACATTAAAACAAAAATACAAAAACAAAATAAATATCGCCCAAGGCCGGCAAACAAAATACACAAAAAATCGAAATAAAAACAAAAATTATTACAGTGTATGCACAAAGTGTGTGCCTACATGAGTGTGTGTGTGCGAACGTATATGTGTGTGTATTTGACAAGTGATTGAAGGTAAATTCATTGTTTATTGTTATTAAACCAAACAAGTCCAAATAAATTAATAAAAATATACAAAAGAAAAACAATAAAATTTTAAATAAATTTAATAAACAAGCAACAATTTTTGCAATTTTTCTAAATGCATTAAAATCAGTGAAAATTACAAAAATAAAAAATAAGTATATCTAAAGTCACAAATTATAAATTAAAAGTCTATAAAAACATAAACTTAAAAATAAAATAATAAAATTAATCAAAATATATCAATAAATATCACGGTTATATTAAATAATAAAATAAAAATAGAAA